TTCTTCACAGAACAGTTTCAGAGCCTCCTGGTGTCTCTCACACACCCCGTCCACTCCTGCTCCTTTTGCTGCTTGTAAACTCAGCCGCTTGGCGATTTCTACAACATTTGCCAGCTGCCTGTTGGGCCTGAGGTTTCTCTGTTGCACAGTTTCTCTGCACTGAGGGCAGGAGGTGGCTGTATCGGATCCCTCCCAGCACTGGCTGATGCAGGCTTGGCAGAAATTGTGCCCACACTCCAGAGTGACAGGTTCTGTGAAATACTCCAGACAGACGGGACATGTCGCTTCCTCCTGGAGACTTTCCACGGGGTTCTCTGCAGCCATGGCTCCCTCTGGGCAGTTTGTAACAGTCTTTGTTTCAAATTCCTGAATTCACACTATGCCCCGCCTGCAGCAGCAAGAGGGTGTTTCCTTTCCTGAAACTGACTCCTGTTTGCTGAGCAGGAAGGACCCAACCAATTTCACCCCTGAAGGCTTTAATGAAAAAATGTACAGTCACACCCATGACAGGAAACTTTCAGTGAAATTAGCCTGTAATTAAAACCCAAAGGAGCTCCTTGCCTGCAATCAGCCCCTCTGCTGGTGTAGAGGGTCACTGAGGCATCCTCCTGTGAGGATGAGCCTGCAGTAGCTGTGTGTTTAAGGCGGAATAGTCAGGCTTGGCAGAATTTTTTTTTAGAATATATAATTTTGACAATGTTTATTTTAAGCAATTTTTATATTTATTGATTTAAACTTTCACAGTTGCAGAAAAATCTGGCTTTTAAGCATTTCATTCTAATTAAAATTTTCACGGTTGTGGGAAATTATGGGGGATCAGCCAATATTTTGGTCAGACCAGAACTGCACCGCTACCTCGATATAACGCCACCGGCTATAACACGAATTTGGATATAACGTGGTAAAGCAGTGCTCCGGGGGCGGGGGGGTGCACACTCCAGTGGATCGAAGCAAGTTCAATATAACACGCTTTCACCTATACCGCGGTAAGATTTTTTGGCTCCCAAGGACAACGTTATATCGGGGTAGAAGTGTATTTAATGACACTAGACACTGATATTCAAAAAGTTGAAGCTTTAGAACTGTTAAAATTGTTTGTGAGTAGGTAAATCTCCTCCCTCCCCCAGGGCAATAACCCAATGCCTCCCCCACCACCAGGGGCGGCTCTAGGCACCAACTAAACAAGCAGGTGCCTAGGGTGGCAAAATGTATGGGGTGGCAAAACA